CGATCTGCTCGCGCGTCATGTCGCGCGCAATGCTCCCGTTGGGGCCCGGGGCGAAGGCCGGCTCCAGCCCCTGCATGGGCGGCGTGGAGAGGATCCTCTGGTTGAATCGCACGGCGAGCAGCAGGATCTCAAAGTCGACGGCGTGGCTGAGCCAGTTGGGGTTGACGGCCGGGTCGTGTCGCACGTCAGCTGACGTGATGTGCACCGTCCCTCGCGACAGCGGCCGCATGAGCGCCAGGTCCAGGCCGCCCGAGTTGTCATTGAGGATCTCGTACGCCGGCGTGGTGTTGAGCAAAAGGGACGCGGCGACCATGTTGTGTTGCATTCCATACCCGACCAGGACGGTCAACCCGCTCCTGTCCGGGCTGGAGTACTCCGGTGGCAAGACAGACGGGACCAGCCCGAAACGCCGCATTGCGTCTTCGAGGAGAGAGATGTACCGGGTGGAGTTTGCCATTTGCGCGAGAGAGGGGAACGCAACTGCGGTCGAAGGTTTCGCTGTCCATGGGCCGGTTCGCGAGGAGAAATAAGTTCGTTCTGCAGCAACATCGAAGCTCGAATTCGTGAGCAGCCAGGCTGGGCGCGGGACAGACGTATTCTGGACTGTGACCGAGTTAGATCAAGTAGCAGGTAGTTGCGGGATGGAGTAAAAGCACATTCTGCCACGTCGGGGACTTACATGGATATGACAGATGTATCATGGCGTGATCCTGCAAGTTGTTTCCAACCCCTGGTAAATTTTGGACTAGAGGGATACCGAGAGACTGCAGCAAACTGGCGTTGCCGATACCAGATAGCTCGAGAATCTGCGGAGTGTGAATACCACCGGCTGCAAGGATCACCTCGCGAGTAGCTCCGACGAACCGTGTCGTATCGTTGAGTAAATATACGGCCTGTGCAATTGTCAGTTCTGCACGAGCTTTGGTGAATTGAACCTACTTGGACACCCACTGCGCGAACTGCCTCGGATCCTGTTGAGTTGCTGTCGAAGAAAACGCGTCCGACTCGAGCATTCGTGATTAGGTGGTAATTTGGACGACCAGCGGCCATGTCGTAGTATGCCCGTCGCGCATCAGAGCGAGTTTGATTGACAGGATCTATCGACGATGGCAAGAAGTAACTCCCAGCTGACAATCCGTTGTTGGGGTCGAAGCAGTCCGGAATATGTAGGGTATTCAGTGCTTCAAACCAGTTGCCTGTGACCATGTCAGCTTTTGTCCGCAAGGAACGCTGCAAGGTAGTCAATTACCAGTCTGCGGCCAGAAGTATTGCGGATAAGATACGTTGACGGGTCCAGCGAAACCGTGCATGGATTCATCAAATGTGACAGGCTGGTTCTGGACGCCATCGTAGTATCGCGGTGTGTATGTCTCGGACTTTTTGAAGTAAGGCAATAGATTCTCCCAATCCCAGCCTGGATTGCCTAGTGCGGCCCAGATGTTGAAATCGTTCTGGGTGCCTCGATTCCATATCATGCCGTTGATCAAACTGCCTCCGCCGACGCCCTTGCCCATGACGGTCACACGTGGCTGGCCATCGAGCTGCTTCTGTGGAGTTGTGTTGATGTCCCATTCGTATGCTGCAGGGCGGTCACCGATGTAGACGGGTATCTCGATCGAGTCCTCGTAGTTGTCACTGTCGTCTTGTCAGTCAGCAGTACATGAGTTCGGGGAGAGACATACAGAGAGCCAGCTTCGATACACACGACAGAGACGGTTGGATCCTCGCTCAGCCTCGCAGCCACCACCAGACCAGCAATTCCACAACCCACGACAACGTAGTCATACGTGTCTATGGTGCTGTTGTCTGTATCATGTCCGATGAATGGGAAGCAGGTGACGAAGCGTGCGGCAAGAAGAGACAGCAAAACAAAGCGCTTCATTGTTGAGGATGGCGGTGGCTTTCGCCCAGGCACGAGGACAAGGAGTCAGGCACGGTAAGGGAAAGACAGAAGGGCAAAGGAAGATAGAAAGGGAATCTTGGAAAGGCTTTTGATCTGACTAGCGATCTCAAGACTGAGTTCTGCGTGCGTAGAGAAACTGGAACAGTTGCTTGAGAGGGAAAGATCTGGTGGCAAACAAAGATGCAGAGAGGCGCACGGCAGAAAAGAAAAGAGCAAACAATGTACCATGTGTCTCTGGTGTTGTTGGTCATCGCCGTAGCGACAGTCACTAGTCGCGCGATATTGAAAACGCAAGACATCAACGCAGTCAGGGATGGATCCACGACTGATTGTACCTCTGAATGAACAACGAATCTGACTCCTACCACATGAACCGAGAAGTCATCATCCAAAACCGATGGCTGTACCACCTCGCTAGCACGATCGCTGGCCCTTGTGCTTTCTGGCCGCTCTCTCCAGTCGAAACGCGGCACTTTGGTGATCAAGCATGCGGAGACGATGAGAAAAATCGATATTGCCCTGCCCTACCGCTGTGGTTGGTATACCCGAAGGCTGCGTATAAGACTCCTGTGGTGCAGAGATGTGCATCCGATGCATCGCGTCGAGCACGTCAGCTTGATGGGCGGCAGGAATGTAAGTGACTGGAAAACCGTTTGGTGAATTCAATTCATAAGAAGAAACTGTATCACTTGGGCTGATCACAGCATCATTGCCAGCTTGATAGAAACCCAAGTCTTGCTCGTGCGGACGGCCTAATGTTATCTGCGAAAACTGCGTTGGACGTATGACGGGTGTCTGGGGAGTGTGAATAGGAACAGCATGGTGAAGGGATTGCAATTGCATTGGAATAGTCGGTATATCGAGAGTCTGCACAGTGCTCCTGATTGATGGGGTTGACATGTACGAGGTCGTCCAGCTCGACACTGCTGTTGAGGCATTCCTACCCTCAGGGACATGAGATCTCCCAAAGTCGGGGAGGTTCGGAGAGCTGTGGCGCCATTGTCGTTGCTCCATTCTGTCCATCTCAGCAAAGATAGTGGCCAATCTTGCCTCAAACGCCTGGCGGTTCTTCACACATCGGTTCAGACGTGATCGCTTCTTTCTGATGCTCCTTTTCAAAGAATCTGTCAGCCCATCGGACCTCTCATGTTTTCGAGCTTCCACCAGTCTGTGTTGCGTCTTTGTTATCTCTGCCGTTAGTCGTCTGTACAGGCATTCCGCAGCAGCTATACGCTCCTGGATGTACTCTGCCTCTTGACGGACTTGAGAATGTTGAGCGGTAACCAGTGTTGGTCTCGTCGAGCTGAACGGTGCTAGATGATGGAGAAATGCCATTGCAGAGCTGTGGTAGTACTTGAGCAGGCCTCTTCAAAGACTGTAGAATGGAAAGATTGACCGATTGACTCCGCGTACGGCTTTTGTGCTAGTATGCGTCTTTGACCTGTCAACTTCACAAAGAAGCAAGGCTGACCAATAGCAGCCGTGGGGACCAAGGCGGGCCGGATTGTGTATTTTTATGGACAAAGAAGCTCTGACCATGTGGAAAGTTTGTGGGTCTTGACACAATGCCGTGCGCTGTTGCCTTTGCCGAGTGTGAGTGGTGCCGGATGGCTGACTGTTCAGGGTGTATGGCGACAAGAAACTGGCCGGCCAGGAACGATGAGCTTGAAACTCAGATATTCCAGCCACCATGTCTCGCCGGCTCAGCAAATCTCCAAAGTCCAGCATCTCTGGCTGCCTTCTGCACCACCCCGACTTCTTCATGGGTAACCGGTCGATTGATTTCCGCGTATCTCTTGCTCGAGGCGTCCGACTTCGAGCCTCTTTTCTCCTTGCCGACATGAGCCGTGGGAAAATACTGTTCCATGATATTCACAAAGACATCTTTCCCTAGAGCCTCGGCCAACCAGTTCATGATCTGTATCCCTTCTTGTTCTTTTCCCGGCATGACAAGATGACGGACCAGGACTCCTTTCTTCGCGATGCCGTCAGCCGTGAAGCACAAATCACCCACCTGCCGATACATCTCTCGAATGCTTTCTCTTGCCGTATCTGCATATCCGTCGGCTTTTAAAAGCCGCCTGCTCGTCTCATTGTTCCAGACCTTGAAGTCTGGTAAATAGATGTCGACCAATCCGTCCATCAACTTGAGACTTTCTAAGCTGTCAAATGCGCTAGTGTTGTACACGATGGGTATATTGAGGCCCATCTCCCGGGCAGTCAGGATAGCCAGTGCGACTTGGGGCACGACATGCTCAGGCGTCACCACGTTGATATTATGCACATTTCCCACCTCCTGCAGCTTCACCATCCACTCCGCCAGCTCCTCCGGGGTCAGATCGAAGCCGATTTTCTGGTGGGCAATGTCGTGGTTCTGACAAAACACACACCTCAAGTTACAGCCACTGAAGAATATAGACCCGGATCCATTATGCCCTTGAAGGCATGGCTCTTCCCCAAAATGAGGTGCGATGGTTGATACCTTGACCGTTTCCGCCCCGATCAAGCAGTGGCCGGTAGTCTCGTAACGATTGACATTGCAGAGACGTGGACAGAGATTGCATTGACGGAGATGGGCATAGGCCGCAGACCGTTTCTTCGCTGCCTCGGCAGAGGAGAGCAGGTGATATCGTGGGATATAGTCGTCGAGGAGGAAAGGGGGAGCGAGATGGAGCCTTCGTTTGGTGGTGTGCTGCAGAGAACCGATTTTGAAGGCGGATCGGGAAAGTATCTCTGGTTGCCTTATAGCAGATCTGGCCAAAAGTGATGTGAACATCGTGCTTCAAGAAGCTCTGGAAAGTGGTATCCCATCCTCGATCTTTTCTAGCGATTGGGATTGACTGCCTGGCGACACCTGTTGAAGGATATGGAGAGTCTGTGAACTGATAGTCAAATGCGGGACTGGAAGACCGCAGGACGCCACAGCCCGACGTCATCGCCTGCTTGTCAGTGGCAGCCACACCCTTCTTAGTAACTCAACAACAAAGGCACACATAATCCATATGCAGCTGGAACTGTGCCTGGTGTACAGCTCCTGTGGTGCATATATTTCGTCCCTGTCTTCTTCCTCCCTCCGGCGTCTTTCACACCCTCCAAGATGCGTCCCATCATCGCAATTCCCGTAACCCTCCTCCTTGTCACTCGCGCCTACACTCGGCGATCCCTCACACCGCTGGGCATCGTGACCGCAGCACTTACCGCAACGATCCACGCCCTTCATCCGTCTGCCCTCCCGTTCACTTTACTTTGCACATTTTTCCTGCTCGGCACGACGGCCACAAAAGTGAAACATGACGTGAAAGCCACGTTGACAGTGTCAAGTAGTGGAGCTTCAGGCGGAGAAGGGCCTCGCACGAGTCTGCAGGTGGTTGCGAACAGCGGGTGCGCAAGTGCGCTGTGCTTATTGCATGTTTCGCTATTTGGAGTAGACACGAGCGAGGGCGCAGAATGTTTTGGTGGTAGCCGACAGAGCAGCAACACGTTTGCTGACCTGTTGCTGATGGGGATAATGGCCAACTATGCTGCGGTGGCTGCCGACACTCTGTCTAGCGAGCTGGGAATTCTCTCCAAATCCCAACCAGTGCTCATCACGAACCCGCTGCGAGTTGTCCCACGAGGTACCAACGGCGGGGTGACTCTTGCTGGACTTTTGGCCGGTGTGGGAGGCAGCGCTGCCATTGCTGCTACGAGTGTGGCACTCCTGGGCTTTTGTGCCGGATCACCTTTTGACGCCCTCACTCTGTTCGCGTTATTGACAGGGCTCGGAACGATTGGCACGCTTCTCGACTCTCTCTTGGGAGCACTGCTGCAAGCCTCGGTCATCGATCGGCGGTCTGGAAAGATCGTTGAAGGACCCGGCGGCCTCAAGGTGCTTACGAGGCCCAAGACGCCCCCTGCACATGTGCAAGGGCATGGCCGAAAGTCCAGCGGTGAAGAGAGCAGCAGGTTGATCAACTCTGGAAACGACATCTTGGATAACAACCAAATCAACCTCCTCATGGCTTCTATCATGAGTGTATCTGGGATGATAGCAGGAGATCTTTTGTGCAGATGAAACCATGATTCAAGTGGAAGATGGAAATGATATTGCAACTTGCCACATAAATTGTGCGTTTGTGGTGGTTTTCCACCATTCAGTCCGTACACAGACACTATTACCATATTTCTCTTCCAAACGTATCCGCCTTATTCATCTCCCCAAAGGGCTCTTCACTGGAGCAACTCCAATCAATCAGATCGTCAATGTATTGCGGGTATCATGATCGTCCCAAAGTCCAAGGTCAAACAAATTCCACCATATCCCAGCCATTATTAGGCACTAGACTTTTCCATTTCCAATGTATCAAAAATCTAAAACTCCATCGTATCACGTCATATCGGGTGTTCAAATAACAAGCCATCCCAAAGACAGAACAAATAGACAGCATCGCAGACTGGCTGGTAAAGTCCTGGATAGTGCGTCGTTGGCGACATCTGCAGACTGTGTCGGAGATGTAGTCGCGGATGCGGTTTTTGACTCGGTGGTCGATTTGTGTGACGAGGTTGTTTGTGGAACAATCGTGGTCGAGTCGAGGCCGATTCCCCCGGGACCAAATGACACCGACACATGTTCCGAACCGATGGTTGTAGTCACCTGGGGAGCGTTGGATCCAATGCGGTAAGTAGTGCCACTGACAACGGCTTCACTACCGTCGACCGAGAAAGTCAATCCTTCAGCGGTGTAGACAACAAAGGGAGAGCCAGTCGGCCCGCCAGGAGTCAACGTAGTGCTTGCCAGTCCAACGCCACCAGGGCCGAGCGATACCGACACATGTTGCGACCCAATGGTCGTAGTGAGCTGGGGAGCGTTCGACCCAATGCGATATGTGGTGCCCCCAACAATAGCCTCAGTACCAGCGATAGAGAAGGTCAGACCTTCTACAGTGTAGACAGTAAACGGCGTCGCACCACCAGGCGCCACAATAGTGCCGGGCAATCCCACGCCAGCAGAGCCGATGGAGATCCTGGTTCCATCAACGGTGACGGTCGTAGCTGGCGCACCCTGCCCGACCCTGTACGTTGTTCCAGAGATAATCGCGACCGTTGGCCCGACGGTGAGAGTGAGACCGCCAAATGCGGTAGTAATCGTACCCGTTGGAACTGGCGTTACAATCTGCTCATGTGGAAGCTGTGATATTGTTATGGTCGTCGAAGGAGCTATTATCTTGGAGGGCTCCACAGTAAACACAGCACCAGATGCTTGCACAGTGGTGGGGACCGAATTGGGAATCGCGACGGTCTGACTCCCAATGACCACGCTAAAAGGCTGTACAATGATCGGGACACCGTTGACAGTGGTGGTCAAGGGAGCGGCTCCAGAGGCACGACTAGTCGGCGAGGCAGTCGCAAAGGGCGAGTTGAGGATAGAAGCAATGATGTTGCCCAATCGTGTAGTTGTTGGAGCTTCGACAATCAAACTTCCGCCAGTCGGAGCACTGATTGATGGGAAACTACCTCCATTATTTGTTGCGGGAGTGACGGGTGCGTTGTTGCTGGAAGGGGAGTTTCCACCGCCCCCATTGTTGACAGTGTTTTGTCCACTATCACCACTATTGCTGTCACCGTTATTGCTCCGCTGGGGGGAGGGGTGGGATTCTGCGAGGGGAAATTGAAGTTGATGTCGATAGAAGTGGTTGGCGGGGCCACCACGGGAACCGGGGTCTTCTTTGTGACGACGACAGTACTGGTATAGTCGACACTCGAGTAGACAGCCGATGAAGCTAGCGAAGCGGACACCAATGGTGGTTGAGTACTCGCAAGGGCAGGGGTTTCTCCTGGCACCACGGGCGCAGAGGATTCGGGAGCAAAAAACGGATTATTGGTAGCAAATTGAGGAATAGTCGATGGGCCTGGAATGTTCGACTCTGTTTTACTCCGGTCCTCCCCGCTGGCGGACGATGCAGGGTTATATGACGCAGCAATGGGCATGATCGTTGCTTGACAGGCAGGCAAAGGCGTGATTAAAGTCGGTGTCTCGGTCATGGACGCATTGCTGGCTGTCATCGTCACGTTGAAGCCTTCGGTGACTGTGACGTAGACCGTGGGCGGAACGGAGCCAAAGTAAGTGACTGAGCCAGTGCAAGTTGGGGATGTCGTCGAGGCATTTGTAGTACTGCCGAGATCTATACTCAGGCTCGAGTTCGTGAAAGGTCGTGTGAAAGATGGTAGTGGTGGAGGGGTTTTGAGAACGGGCGGCGCAGGTCCATTGATAGGAGTAACAATGTTGCTGGAGGAAGAAATGGTTGATGTATCAACTGATGTGGTAGCTGTTGTTTCGGGAGGGGTCGATGGACCAAAAATGGGTGGAGGACTGAGTGTAGCGATTGTCAATGAACTGGGACTCGAGCCGCGAGGGTCTTGGACTGGCGGAGGATTGACTGGAACGATTGTGCTTGTGCTGGTAACAGTGGGTGGAAGGTTAGGAGGAAAGCTGAACGGGGCGATTGTAGCAGAGCTCGGGTTCGTATCGGCGATACTGAGAGGCGACGTAGACTCCGGTACAGCGATTGTTGGCTCAGTAGACAAGGTCGTCTCACTGAGAACGGGATTAGATGTACTCGGCGAAGCGATCGTGGTGACCTCTGGTCTGAGGTCTAGCTGGGGCGACGTGGTATTGGAATAAACGATGTCTCTGCGCATGAACCTGAGGGGCAGTCTCTTGTCCAAGCTCAAGGCCAAACTCAGATCCAAGTTCAGTGCACTAGAGAGCGCAACATATAGACAAACGAGCGACCACAGGGTATACATCTCGTCTTCAGAGAATAGTGTCCTTCTCTTGCGTCGGAACCCCAGATTTCAAGCGAGTGTTGGGTCCAAAATTGTATAAGAACGAACGACTGTGCGATTAAGCATTCGATGAGAGGTCCTTCAATTCCTCATGATAGCAAAAGGCGTGTGATTAGTGCTGGCAAGTTGTCCTCCTTGCGATCCACGTGTCCCAGGTCGATCGTGGACGTGGAGTGATAGCGAACGTCGGGGATTCGCAAGGCATGAAGAGATATATTCGTAGATGGTTCAGGGTCACGACAGGACGCAGGTACAAGGGCCGGTTCTCGACTCCTGTCCCCCGGCAGACGAGGAAGCAGTGACTTGTTGTGGTTCAAAACGAAGGACAGGGCCAGACGAAATGGAAGTGGACGTCTGGATTGATGCGCATAGAGTTTTGCGGTTCTGCGGAAGTAGTGGTCGGAAGAGAGGCGGAGATGGACAGACTCGACAGGGGGTGGTCAAAGTGACAGGGCTTTTCAGCCAGTCACTTACAGCCTTGAGCAGTTCGAGGGGCCCTGGTTCCCAGCATGTTCCAGGCTTTGAGAACTGGCAGACCAGGTTTTGTAATCGCCATCTTGCGGCTTTGGCTGGCTGGAGACCCCATCAAATGTGGTGGTGGAGGACTGGTTGCCGACCAGCTGTCAGGTCAACACACGCGGTCAGTGCTGCAAGGGCACCACAAGATTGGTTGGAGCTTTGGATTGACCTGCAGCCACTGTCGCGAGATATCAGTGGCTGTGGTGGCCATTGTGAGTCCATTGGGTGCCTATCAATGGAGACGCGAAAGCACCAAAGGGGTCACCCGCAGCTACCGTGAAGCCCGGCAAGGGGAATTTTCTTAGCTAAAAAGTCTCCTAGGTAGTACCTCCTCAAGGGCCAAGGCCCCAGGCCCCGCCAGTAGGTGCGCCGTCGACGCCATCACCATCATCTGTCCGAATGTCTTGCACGAAAGAACCGTGTTCAGGCTGCTCACTGGTTGTAACATGGCTTGTCTCCAAACCATCTTCATCTCCCTGCTTACTGTGTGCGAGGGGTTACGAGTTACAATTGTTCTCTCGGCTTTACGAGTACGAGGACTTCATCGTGGTGGTTCCTATTCCGCCCGCACAATCTACCGTGCATGATGATGGTCAAACTCAAACTGTCCAGTCCCTGCACATCATCTCATCCACGCATCCCTGACTTGAGACGCGCCACGGTCCCATCAGATACTGATATACGAGAAGGATTTCCCTCTCGCTCTGCTTGTACTCTTGTCTCGTCAAAATACTCTCAAAGAAGTGAGCACATGTCACACTGCTTTCAATAAACCTCCTGAGCCAGGGATCTGGTCTTCGGCGTGTGGAGACCAGAAGCAATGTGCCACATGTTCCGAGGAATTCATGTCCGGCTCCACCTGTCTGCCTTGTGGTATCAGAATCAATCATTTTCCTCGTGTTTGCGGATGCAGGTCCAGCCCAAAACGTCGCACCAGACCCTTTCGTGTGGGACACATGACATGCCCACGATGAGGCTCTCTTTCATTTCAGAAATAACGCCAGGTCGCCGATGCAGTCCGCCGTTCAGACATCCCCGAGAGACAGGCTGTGTGTGACTAGATGTCTGCGACAGTCGACGTCTGTTGGGACAGTCGCGATGGCACAAACACCTAGTACCGTAGAGGGAAAGTTGCACATTCTATCTCGGATGATGCAGGGCCAAGCAAGTTTCAAGCGGGAGAATTGGGGCTCTTTCTCTTCGATCGGTTCGCTCCGACATTGAGTTGAACTCTCAAGCTCGCGGGAGGCATTATTTCTGGCAAAGCCACTTCGCGCGCCTGGTGACAGACATCGCTCTTGGTAGGGGTTCCCATCAATCGCAAGTGCCGTGCAGATTTCTCGAGGTGCCAAGTCCCATCATCTTGGGCCTAACCCATCGTCTTGGACTGCTTGTGTCGAGTTGCACCTCGCATGGGTGGGGAGACGCAGCTGTGAAATCGGAAACAGCCCATTGGCACAACAGTAGAATGTCGTTCCCATCAATCTCTCATAAACGAAGAGAAACAAGATCCCAAGCCTATGTCCGTGTAATTGTACTCTCGAGGAAGTGGATGGAATGCCCTCTGGGAACTTCTGGCAGGAGAGGAGAGAGGGGAAAATGGTGCTGCGCATCGTGATTCGTTGTGGTGGGAGGAGCTACTGCCTAGCACCCTAGTTCCTGGTTGTCGCACATGGTTGGTTGATGCCCGGGACTCTCCTCTCCTGCTTTAGGGCTGGTCTCAAAAAAGTCGCCCTTCGAGACCTTCCCCGTGGCTAGGCTTAACTTGTAGACATTGGGAGCTGCTGTTCTCTTGTCACCTGTGAATGAGACATTTTGTCCACCTCGTCGTGGTGTCGCCGACGTCCTCTCGTTTTTAGTTGCAGTCGACATCAGTCTCGTTAGCAGTTCGCCTCAGTGCCAACTTGTGCCACCTGGTCGCAGCCCCTCGTTTAGATCTCCAAGCACAATTGACCTGCAGACCGCGCCCCTGGACCAAGCATCAAGCTATGAAGACCTTTCGAACTCGTTGAATTCCAAGCACGATGCGCTCTTCAGATTACGACCGCTTGCGGCCTTGCTCATGGTCATGTCGTCGCGATATCCTCATTATCTTCAGTCTCATACTATCACTTGGCTCTGTTGAAGCCTCAGAACCGATTCCGATTGTTGCGACAACAAGTACTGATTTCTTCGGCTACGATGGCCTGTGGTCTGCCATCAGTATACGAGTGGGATCGCCCGAACAATATCTGTCTGTATTCCCGAGCACACTGAGTCAGGAGACGTGGGTAGTAGGTCCTGCTGGCTGCGATGGCACCTCAATCTGTGAGAATAAAAGAGGAGGGTTGTTTTCGGCAAACGAATCGTCTTCTTTCAATGCTCGAGGCTTTTTCGAGCTCAACTTCAACCCTGAGCTGGGAGGCACCGGATATGGATATTATGGCTTGGACACTCTCTCCCTCAACGATGCGATCTCGGTCCCTGATCAAATCATCTCCGTGGTCAATGCTACAGAATATTGGGTCGGAACTTTGGGACTAGGGGTTCAACAGACCAGGTTCAACGGTTCTGAAGACATCTCACCACTCTTATCGAGTCTAATCCAGAAGCGCAATGATATCCCGAGCCGCAGTTATGGCTACACTGCAGGGGCAGCCTACCGTATGTACTCTTTGTCAGCCCTATCCCAAGCGCAGTTTGCTAATGCCATTCCAGGTCTGAAAAGTGTTCCAGCCTCGTTAACGCTTGGAGGCATTGATGCGAATCGATTCGTGCCGAATAACATGAGCTTCACGCTAAGCCAGGACTACTCACCGATTGTTGCCATCAATTCGATTTCGCTTTCATCAGGGGCCGAATCTTTACCGTCTAATTGGGATTCCAACCCCCAAACTCTTCTGGATATATCTCAAGCCGACTTGTTCACCATTGACTCGTCAACTCCATTCCTATGGCTCCCCGAACCAGCGTGCGACGCTTTCGCAAATGCGCTCAACTTGACTTACGACGACACTTTACAACTTTACCTTTTCCCAGACGATAATTCATCATCACCCAGCGCTCTCAGTGCGTGGAATTTGACTTTCACATTCACATTGAGCAATCTGCCAGGCTCGTCCGACGGGATTGAACTTACGCTACCGTACGATGCGTTCAATCTTCAGCTGACATACCCGTTTCCAAATCTGGACGCAAACTTCACCTCTCCTCCCACCAACTATTTTCCCCTACGCAAAGCAGCCAATTCCACACAATATACCATCGGTCGAGCCTTCCTTCAAGAGACCTATCTTACTGTTGACTACGAACGCAACAACTTCTCAATCTCCCAGGCCGTGTTTACATTGGATGCCGTAAGCAATGTCAACCTCCTAGCAATCTCTCGACCCGAAGGCAGCACGTGGCCAGGACCCCCGGGAAGCGGATTGTCGACGGGCGCCAAAATAGGCATTGGGATTGGAGCTGGAATAGGAGCATTGCTTGCATTGGGAGTGGCTTTGTGGTTCTGTTTCCGGAAGAGGGATGAATCAGGAAACTCTGGCACGGAGAAGGAGAAGCGACGGTCATTCCTTAGTCGCCTGCAGAAGCATCCCGACTCAAAGACCTCTGTTTCTGAATTGCTAGGCGACAAACGCCAACCAACCGAGGTTCCTGCAGATCCGTCCGTTAGCCGGTTCGAACTCGCAGCCAGCACGCCAATCGAAATGCCGGCTGGCCCTGTCTCTCCGAGTTTCTTCGAGAGCAATGAAGCCCCCCGGGGATCAGCGCTTATGAGGAACGATCCCAGAAGACCGGCAGAGCTCGAACAGCAGCACTCGGCAAACAAGGCGGCTGAAGCAGCAGCGAGCGAGAGATCTGGGTCACCGGTGCCCCCGTATTCACCAGCGGAGGTCAACCATCGCTTCAGCAACAGTGTCAGCCCGTACAGTGTCAGGCACAGCCGTGCGTTTGGAACTGTGTCCTCCGGGGACCAGGGTATTAGCCCAGTGGGTGCCAGCCACGATGGTCATTCGCGACAATCCAGCAATACCAATAGCAGGAGCATGTCCAGTCCAATATCACCAGAACTTACATCAAGATCTCAAGCACAACTACTGCCTGGAGGAAGTACCAGCCCGGCAACGAGCACGAGCCGTGGCAGCCTTTTGGTACCACAGCTGAACGGACGTCCTCCATCACGCTCACCCAGTTCTGGAAGCAGATTTGTCGAGGAAGGGCTGACCACCGTGACGGAAGAACGCCCCCCTGGTCCACCTGTGCGATCGAACACCCCGGCTGACAGATTCAGCTGGGAGCAGTGAAACTCGCAACAGGTGGAAGGACTGATGACCTTGTAATGACCCGAGATGCTTGTCACGATATCACTTTTATTCTACTGAGCCACGGATTATTCCAGCTGGTAAAAAGAAAAGTACTGTACAGTACTGGACAGGATACCAGTCTCACATGTACCTAGATAA